GAGCCAGGGCATGGAAACATTCTGCCCTGAGTGGATGGGGCACCTGCTGTCACAACCACTCAGGGGCTAGGAGACCCCGAGGGCAGGAACTGAGAGGGACGTGCATGGCAGTGCGGGCAGACTCCGTGTGCTCCTCTGGCTTGTTCCTGACATGTCTTCACACATCCCAAGGATATCCTCTGACCACGGCCTTTCCCTGCCCTCCTCTCAGGTCAGCTGAGGAGAACTTTTAGCCTCTAGTTTTCCATTCTCTCACTCATGGAACCTTGTTACCTTCCCCAAAGAGGGGACCAGCTCTTATCTTAGCAGCCTGACTCCCTCCTCTGCTGACTTAGGACAACATCACATAGAAGATACTCCATTCCTTGCTGGCCACACCCACTTCTTTCCTTCCTCTTCCTCATAACCCCTAATGGCTTGTACCATCTCCAAAGGAAGACCTGGACTGTTTGGGACATGTCTTTGCTTTTATTTTTATTTATTTTTCATGCATGTGGTATATGTATTTGTGTGTATATGTGTGCATGTGCCTGTAGAGACCTGAGGTCCAGTGCCTGGGTAGTGAGTTCTGGGGATCTACCCGCCTCCGCCTCCGCCTCCCCAGTGATGGAACTTGGGTACCTGGAATTGTATGTGGCTGCTGGGGATCTGAACTTGAATTCTCATCTTGCCTCTGCAAGTTCTTCACCAACTTATTCACTTTCCCAGCTCAAGACATGTTATGAAATATACCCTGTCATCCTGCCCATACCAGCCTCATCTCCTGCCACACCAGGCCTCATCTCCTGCCACACCAGGCCTCATCTCCTGCCCACACCAGGCCTCACCTCCTGCCCACACCAGGCCTCATCTCCTACCACACCAGGCCTCATCTCCTGCCACACCAGGCCTCATCTCTTGCCACACCAGCCTCATCTCCTGCCCACACCAGGCCTCACCTCCTGCCCACACCAGGCCTCATCTCCTGCCCACACCAGGCCTCACCTCCTGCCCACACCAGGCCTCATCTCTCCCTCTTCTGCCCACTTCCCTGTGGGACTCA